GTGGAGGCAACATAGCATATGGATGCGGCGCTGGAGTTCATAGCCGTTGCATTGTCTTTGCCCTTGGCGATGCCCGCGAGGTTGCACAAGCGTTGAATTTGGTCATTTCCTCCAGCTAGGGCACGGATGCATTTGGGTGAGCGGCAAATGGCCAGTAGGCCAGATGGGTTTTGTCCTTTCCCTATGCGATAGAGCTGAGAGGTACAAATCTTGACAGCATAGCCGGGTAAGTTGTCGATGTCAGCAATCTCAGAGGACATACCGAAGAACCCGTAACATGGGTATTGAGTTGGCATGCCGGCTTCGTTTTTTGTCCAAGTTGCCGGGCGGATGCAGTCTTCCGCGAGAATTTTGGCAACTGATTCCCAACTCGTTTTGTGGTAGATCAGGTAGGTGCCCATGTGTTCGCCACGATAGATTGGTTTCTTTCTCAATCCTGTGGGGACCGTGATGGTCAGCAGGTTCTCTGGCTCGATGTAGAATGCTTGTGTTTGCCTCGCAAGCTCGATGTCCAGTAAGTTGGATTGTGCAAAGGCCCTGGCAATGTTCTTGACGGTGGCTTGGCTTGCTTTGATATAAATACGTTGGTTGTTGACGGTGCGATATGGTTGAGCCAACTGGTGGAACATCTCGTCAACGAATTGGTTGAAGAGCTGCGAGATGGCCGGGGTCAATGATTGGCGTAGGGGCACGACATGGTCGGGGCCAAGCTCAGTCAAGCAGCGGACCCTAAGGGGATCATTGGCCGCCTCAACCATTTCACTGAGGTCGATGTCATTCGTGTCGAACTTTGAGATCGAAATTGTATCTGCCACCTCAGAATTTTCACTGTCGCCGTCAGGGACGCGGAAGGACACAGCGCCAAGTGGTGCTGAAGTGTGGGCTGGTGGGTTGGTAGGTGGTTCCGGTGGTGGTGGATCGGCACGAGAGTTGGGTCGAGCAGTGTGGTGGTGGTAGTTGTCGGTGTAATGGCTGTCGTTCCATGTGCCCCAGGTGTCATCAGCGTCGGGAGTGGGGATGTAGGCCGGATTGGATGGGTTTGCAGCTGGTCGAAGTACGACTTCACGGCCTCTGGATCGGTGACGTGGTGTCGCGGAACGTGGTCTTGGGTGAGATCGATGACGTCGAGGAACCACGGGAGAGCGGCGTCTTGGCGGTGATCGTCGTCTGTATGGAGATGGGGTTCTGCGGTCCTTGGCGTGTTTCGTGGATGACCGATAACGAGGAAGAGGAGAACGAGGTCAAACTGCACGTTGGGGAGAATAGCGATGGTGATGGGAATGTGCAGAAGGTCGATGGGAACGTGATCTTGGAGTCCTGGATCGTGGTCGGCGTGTTGGTGATGGTGGAGCATGTAGTTGGTGAGGAGGAGCGATGGCTGGAGCTTGGACAATGCGAGGGTCCGGAACGTCAGGTTCGGTGGGTCTGGCTTTCGGTGCAGGTGGAGGCGTGGCGATCAGTGGTGGTGCTGTTGTAGGTGGTGGTGTCGGTGGAATAGGGTTCGGTGGAGGTCCATCTTGTTGGAGGAGTAGCTGACGTTGTTCTTGGGCTCGTTGAGAATCCATGATCAATTGTTGCTGAGCTTGAATAAGTCGAACCGATTCCGCAAGTTGCTGTGCAGTGGAGCCCAGTGCTGCAAGTTCAGGTGAAACGGATGAAGTTGGTGCTGCCGTAGGTGCCGGTGGTGTAGCAGGAGGAGGGGCTTTCGGAGCTGGCCGACGCGGTCTGTCCGTTTTCTTGTCAGAGCGAAGCCTGGGAGCCGCCTTAACTGCTGGGGCATGTGGTGAAGGTTCATCTGGAGGGACCATCGATGCGTCCGTCTGTAGTGGAGGTTGAATGTGGTGAGGTGGGTATGGAGAACTGGACAAAGGTGTCGGTGGCGTAGTCGATGTAGGTGGTGTAGTCGATGTAGGGGATGGAGCCGGAGGAGAATGCCAAGTGGGTGGAGCGGTGGGTGCCGTAGGAGTCGGAAAGGTCGATGGAGCGGTGTGCACCAGAGTGGTTTCAGGGGCCATAGGTGTGGGCATGGTGGGTACGAGTTGTGGGCCAGGTACTGCATGAGGAGCCGAAGTCAATGAGGTGAACGGCAACGATGTTGGGGCTGATGCAGACGGCATGAGCGAAGCTGAGGAAGACCATGTAGGATGCAATGACGAGGGATGTCCAAATAGATGTGCGTTCTGTGATGATTGCTGCCACGTCGAAGATGGGTTCGCAGGCTGCGGTGGAGCAGGCCATGACGTCGGAGGAGTGGTCCACGGATACATCGCTCACGAAGAATAATGAAAAATAATGAAAATGCAACGACAGGATTCAGTTCCTAGACCTACTGTTCGTGCAATTGTGCCACAACAGGCCCGTGGTCAAGTCGTGCCCCAATGGCATCAAACGGCTATCAAATTCCAACGAATTGGGTGCACAAAATGTTTCACCTCACCAGACAACCATCAAAAGGAAGAATACCACACCTGCAAGACATGAGCCTGCCTGATTGATTCATATGTCGTGACTTGATGCACTTTCGCTGCAAACGTTGCTGCAAAAAACGGAGGTTTCTGGTAGTTCGAAGTGGCTTCACTCAATAGAGATGCATTCACTGTGTTCATAAAGGACAGCCGGAAACGCGGGACTTCGCAAAAAGGTGCACAACCGAAAGGCTGACTGTTGCGATTTACTTAGATGAATTACTAAGTTAAAATGTGTTAATTCGGCAGTCAGGACAGTCATCACTCACCCTGAAAAGGGTTGCCTCAAATGGCTCCATGGCACCATGTCGGAGCCACCATGGAAATCACACTAGACAAGAATGGATCATTATATGACCCGGCAGGAACTGAATCCTGAAACGTGCAAACCAGCCTAGATCACTAGATTTATAAAGGAGCCACATGAGGTACTTCTCGAAAACGATGTAGAGCATCCAATATTGTCAAACGGAGTTTTAACCCGAGTTCATAAAGTTTTGACCAGCATGTTGAAAACCCAAAATAATGTTTCGGCGATGGCTTCCCAAATTGACCCAAAGTTCATCGGCGACATGATCTCGGCGAAAATAGGTCAAAAAATCATAATACTGTCGGCGACATGGTTTCGGCGAAAATCTGGGGAAGGTTCTGATGCAGCTGAACTAATCGTAAATAACCAAAATTGATTCCAGATTGCGACAACAGTGCAGAAACAAGACAGCTTGTTCAACAGTTCAAACCAAATTCTGCAGGTACACAGAGTTGATCAGACTCTGCTTCCAGCACAAGTGGATAGCTTCGTAGGGTCCAGTCTCCACTGTGCTCTGCACCCCCCTGCAACTGTGAAAAGATTCCCTGCAAATGTGAAAAGGTTCAAATCAAAGAAGTTTTACATCTGTTCAGATGTTACACACACACACACCGCAACAGCGGGGCAGATGAAATGTCAATGAAAGTGAAATGAAAATGAAAATGAAATGAAAGTTACTTAACCAGGACGCGAAGAGGGGAACGCAAAAGAAGAGGGAAAGAGCAAACACCAACACAAACACACCTGGCCCAGAACGGGCAAACCCTGAAAAGGCAAGGAAAGAAAAAACGGAGGCCGACGGAAACGGAACCAGACCAGCGGAGGAGGGGGAGGACGGAAGCGCCTGAACCAACCTACCACGGCGAAACCTAAGCCTACCTCGGCACGCGCAGGACCCAACCTACCTGGAGAGGGTAAGAACACATGAGATAAGGGACCCCTGGGGAAAAAAGTTAGTGACATGATGCATGCACACTGCATGCAAAAGTCGTGATAAGGCTCAAAGGCCCTCCGAGGTCAAGTCACAACCCTGTAAACGGCTTACGTAGCAAACCCTCGAATTACGTGCCCATTTGAACCGTACCAACGACCATAAAAAGAAGAATCACCATACCTGCAAGCATGTCCTGGTGCCTCAACCTGTTCATGTGACATGATGCCAAAATGTCGAGCTCCGTACTCTCTTGGGGAACGTTGGAAAAATGAAGGTTGTCGTGGCTTCAAACTATGCATAAAACGTTCACTCCTCTCCGAAAAGGTGAGGCCAATCACGGCGGCCAGCGTTTTAACAGGTCGACAGCGACAGGTGAGACGATGAAATAAGGCCAGCTGTTTCACTTGACTTAGACGAATTACTAGGTTGAAACTTGTAAATTCAGAGACCAGGTCGAGGATTCGCTCTCCTACCTAGAAAGGTATTCCCCGAAGGGTTCATGCCACCGTGACGAATCCAGCATGAATCACGCACACTTGCTCAGAACAATCTTTGCGAATTCTGATGTGAAACGCATCGGACGTGCAAAAACACCAACAATAAAGTGACACGAAGAATGACAATTTATACAAGTATATATAGACGTATCATCACAGTAGACATTGACCGTATAAAACAGCAGCTATAAGATATATGTCCCCCCAGCTGCGACTTATATGCGCCCAGGGGCGGGACTATACATATACATAGGTACGTTTACACAGGAACATTGCAGCGCCTTCATTGGCCGCTGACTGCAATGTTCCCCAGCGGCCCCCTGCAGCAATATGAAGTTTTACATCTATGCAGATGGTACACACACACATGGAAACACCCCGAAGGGAGAGGATGATATGAGGTGAAGTGTGGTGATGTAGTGATGTTATGTCATGTCGGCATAGGTTGTTTCTGGCTTAGCCACCTTGCCATGTTCGATCAATGAGAAGAACAGCTTGTGAACACCACAGCAAAGCAGGTACGTTTTCACAGCAGCTTGGATGGGTCTTCGTTGGCCTATGCCAGCTAAGTACCCATGGCCCCCATGCTTTTCGCAAATTTGCTAAAACATGCTAAATTCACTTGTTTGGTCCAAATTATTCCTTCGATGCAGGATGCCCCACACGCACACTCACACACACACACATACGGACTAACACGCTGTGCAGCCACGAGAAGGAAAGCAGGGTTGCACAGCATTGCACTGCAAAGTCGAAAGATGCTGCTAGCACAAAAGCGACACGAGAGTGGTGGCAGGTGCTCACATCTGGACTTCTGGGTGGTTGCGCGTACCCCGTCCTCAGTCTCGATGTTGTTAACGGTCTGATGCTTAGGTACTTGCTGTCAGATTTGTCGGAGCAGGCTTTGGTGTGGTCCGTAAAGATTTCATTCACATATCATCTAATATATTTGCAGAGGCCTCGTTGAAACCAGTTGAACCCAAGGTCATGCACTGGTGGCGCTGGAAAATCCATGGCCTCAAGCCGCATTCTCAAGACTTACAGTAGATCTCCAGATGCTGCAAGGTGCAGACTTGTCCAGTCATGAAGAGATCTTAAGGCTGTGCGGCCGATTCAACTCATGATACGAAACAGTTAATTTTATAAAGAACTGTGCAGACAATCTGAGGTACGTGTTTGGACTGCTCTGTCTAGTGGTTCTCCGTGTTTCCATCGGTTTTGGAAAACAGCGGAGCTTGAACGGCCATTTCCGAGGGCAAGTGGAATGGCAGCTGGGGACCAGACAGCTTGGAGCCTGAACCTGAGTCTATAGATATCGTCAAAATAAGCATGTCCACGATTTGTCCATGATTCATCCATGATGCATCTAATCACATGCAAAGAGTTTGGCATGGTGTGGTGTTGGCTCCCGTCACAAACCCAGATTGAGACTGAGGGTCCTTCGGTGTGGCCTGAAGCAGCAGCCTGGTAACACGTTTTGGATGAGCATTCAGGACTTTGGAGACCGCTTTTGGCACGTGCGATTTGAATGAAGCTAGCTGCCTTTAGGATTTCGGTATCACCTTGCATGCCCTTGCATCATTTTGCATCCACCATTGCACTTATGTGCTCGCAGTGTCAGTGCACTGTGTTGACAAATTTTGCAGAATGATTTGCTTCGATTCGGTTGCCCTCAGGACTTTTGCCAGCACTTCACGGACGTGACAGAGGCGGCACATACAGAATGTGCAGATGCCTTGGCCTTGCCTGTCCGCTTTGAAATTTGAGGGTCGGCCTCACAGCAAGCGCCACATGCCTGCATGGCAGGCTCGACTGATTCCATCTTCGTGGCAGTCAGCCATGGTGCCCGACTCGTTCTTGAAACCTTTTCCAGTGAACACGAGCGTGATCCAACAGTTTTCTTGCTGCATCTTGACTCGCCTAATCAAGGTATCTATGTCGGAGGAGAGACCTAGCTACCCATTGGTCTCCGTGTCTTCGCCGACCCAGGCAGAAATTGCACAGGAAGTGCTAACTTCCAAGCAACGTGCTTTATTCGATGCCTTATTCTTCTTTGCCCTCAGTTTTGTTACGCACTGAAAATGTGTTACATTGTATTTCCCTTTCCTGCCGTCCGCACTTTTTTCCAGCTTCTGAAACATGGATGACGATATCGATGTGCTGGAAAGAGCTGTGGTTTGGTGTGAGAAAAAACAAAGAAGGTTTATGTGATCTATCTATCTGCGTACCTATCTATCTATCTATCTATCTATCTATCTATCTACCTACCTACCTATCTATCTATCTATCTATCTATGTATCTATGTATCTATGTATCTATCTATCTATCTATCTATCTATCTATCTATCTATCTATCTATCTATCTATCTATCTATCTATGTATCTATGTATCTATGTATCTATCTATCTGCGTACCTATCTATCTATCTATCTACCTACCTACCTACCTATCTATCTATCTATCTATCTATCTATCTATCTATCTATCTATCTATCTATCTATCTATCTGTGTACCTATCTATCTATCTATCTATCTAGCTATCTATGTATGTATGTATCTATGTATGTATCTATGTATCTGTGTACCTATCTATCTATCTATCTATCTATGTATGTATCTATGTATCTGTGTATCTATGTACCTATGTATCTAAGTATCTATGCATCTATGTAGCTATGTATGTATGTATGTATGTATGTATGTATGTATGTATGTATGTATGTATGTATGTATGTATGTATGTATCTATGTATCTATGTATCTATGTATCTATCTATCGATCGATCTATCTATCTATCTATCTACCGATCCATCTATCTATCTATCTATCTACCTATCTATCTATCTATCTGTCTATCTATCTATCTATCTATCTATAGATCTTTGTATATGCAGATATTGAAAGTGAAGAACAACAGCCAAAGAGAAACACATTCCGGTTTCAGAGTGGAGGTTCATGTGTGAGACTTCGCTGAATGAAACGGTGCTAGGCAATTTTTTGCCTTACCCAAGCTGATTCGCGACTGAGAACAAACAGGCACCTGATGTTGACATCGCTCAGCTGAAAATGCAGGCAGCACTGTGTTGGTGCTGTACTGCAACAGGTTCCATCACTGTTCATGAGATGTTGCGGTCGGGGAAAATCTTTCTGTTCCTACTTGGTACTGGAAGTAACAGGAATACAGGAACGACTCCAAAGGATTCATAGCTCTACTGATCACTCTTGTGATTATTTCCTCCGCTCACTCTGTGTCGTAAAATATTTTAACGTGTTTTAGCTGAGATTCCAGCCTCAGCAGTTTTTTGGCGTGTTGACAGGAACTTTGCTGCTATTGGGCTTCGAGTGTACCGATGTCGCATCGTGGCTCCTCCCCAGCACTCAACAGGCCGCGTCATCTCGAAACTGCCGCTAGCAAAACTGCTGATAGGAAGAGTCCAAACTCAGAAACCACCGCACAAGAACGTATGAACTTTGTCCATCCAGTTCTCTTCAGAGTTTATTCCAGTATTTTCCAAGAAGCTGGAAATAGGTGGAACATGGTGGAACTATTGTAGACATTGAGACCTTAACTGAACCTTGATACGTTGGCCGTCAGGTGCAAAGCAGAACGTCTCCAACCCGTTCAAACCTTTGGAACTCCTGGCAGAAAAGCTTGCAAGCAAGGCGGGCGCGCTGAACTTGGAACAGTCCTTGGAGCAGTCCTCCAAACAGAATCTCTGTGTATACACATACGTATGAATCTATCTAAGAAATACGAATTGCAAAGGAAACTGACTTGGCTTCCTTTGTATTTTCCCGAGAGCGCCTGCGAAGGGTTCTTCGTAAAAAAGCAGCCGTTATACTAGATCTTCACACCTTCACACCTGCAGATCTAGATCTTCACACTCTCACATCTGCCGATCTACATCTTCACCCCTTCACATCTGCTGATCTAGATCTTCACACCCTCACATCTGCAGATCTAGATATTCACACCTTCACACCTGCAGATCTAGATCTTCACACTCTCACATCTGCCGATCTACATCTTCACACCTTCACATCTGCTGATCTACATCATCACACCTTCACACCTGCAGATCTAGATCTTCACATCCTCACACCTGCAGATTTAGATCTTCACACCCTCACATCTGCAGATCTACATCTTCACACCTTCACATCTGCAGATCTAGATCTTCACACCCTCACATCTGCAGATCTAGATCTTCACACCCTCACATCTGCAGATCTAGATCTTCAGAATCTCTGTGTATACACATACGTATGAATCTATCTAAGAAATACGAATTGCAAAGGAAACTGACTTGGCTTCCTTTGTATTTTCCCGAGAGCGCCTGCGAAGGGTTCTTCGTAAAAAAGCAGCCGTTATACTAGATCTTCACACCTTCACACCTGCAGATCTAGATCTTCACACTCTCACATCTGCCGATCTACATCTTCACCCCTTCACATCTGCTGATCTAGATCTTCACACCCTCACATCTGCAGATCTAGATATTCACACCTTCACACCTGCAGATCTAGATCTTCACACTCTCACATCTGCCGATCTACATCTTCACACCTTCACATCTGCTGATCTACATCTTCACACCTTCACACCTGCAGATCTAGATCTTCGCACCTTCACACCTGCAGATCTAGATCTTCACACCTTCACACCTGCATATCTAGATCTTCACACCCTCACATCTGCAGATCTAGATCTTCACACCCTCACACCTGCAGATCTAGATCTTCACACCCTCACATCTGCAGATCTAAATCTTCACACCCTCACACCTGCAGATCTAGATCTTCACACCCTCACACCTGCAGATCTAGATCTTCACACCTTCACACCTGCAGATCTAGATCTTCACACCTTCACACCTGCAGATCTAGATCTTCACACCCTCACATCTGCAGATTTAGATCTTCACACCCTCACATCTGCAGATCTAGATCTTCACACCCTCACACCTGCAGATCTAGATCTTCACACTCTCACATCTGCCGATCTACATCTTCACACCTTCACATCTGCAGATCTCCTCTCGCTCTTCTTCTATTCTCTCTTAAGGCGGGGGCGGTGCCGCCGGAGCGCCACGAAACGCACCCCTTTCGCACGAAATGGACGTTGGACGCCAAAAACTGAGGTAAAATTGCGATTTTACTTTGTCCATTGCAACCCTTTCGCACGAAATGGACGTTGGACGTCAAAAACTGAGGAAAAGTTGCGACTTTGAAGCGTCCCGCGCAACCCTTTCGCACGAAATGGACGTTGGATGTCAAAAACTGATGAAAAATTGCGACTTTACTTTGTCCATCGCGACCCTTTCGCACGAAATGGACGTTGGACGTCAAAAACTGAGGAAAAATTGCGACTTTGAGGTGTCCCGCGCAACCCTTACGCACGAAATGGACGTTGGACGTCAAAAACTGAGGAAAAATTGCGACTTTGAGGTGTCAATCGCAACCCTTACACACGAAATGGAGGTTGGACGTCAAAAACTGAGGAAAAATTGCGATTTTACTTGGTCAATCGTAACCCTTTCGCACGAAATGGATGTTGGACGTCAAAAACTGAGGAAAAATTGCGATTTTACTTGGTCAATCGTAACCCTTTCGCACGAAATGGACGTTGGACGTCAAAAACTGAGGAAAAATTGCGATGGACGCTTTCGTTTCTGTACAAGTGTCTGTGTGTAAAAGGGTCTGTGTGTAAAAGCGTTTGTGTTTGAAAGCGTGTGTGCGTGTGTAAAAAGCATCTGCGTGTAAAAGCGTCCTGTGTAAAAGCGTTTGTGTGTCAACGCGTCTGTGTGTAAAAGCGTTTGTGTGTGAAAGCGTGTGTGCGTGTGTAAAACGTATCTGCGTGTAGAAGCGTCTGTGTGTAAAACCGTCTGTGTGTAAAAGCTTTTGTGTGTAAAAGCGTTGCGTCTGTGTGTAAAAGCGTCTGTGTGTAAAAGCGTTGCGTCTGTGTGTAAAAGCGTCTGTGTGTAAAA